GTAATTTTGCCATTTCTGCTAGTTCTGTCATCTTCACCAACCATTTCTCTGTTGTGGTTTTTTCAGAATCTTTCCATTTTTGCACATATATAAGAATAATCTTCCATGGTTCTTTTCTAATTGACTATCCATTAATCCCGACAAGAAAAGTTCTGGTTTCAGTTGAATGTTGATCTTTAAATTTCTTTGTATCATTGTATATATTTGAACCCAAAAATTTTGGCTTTTTTACAAGTCCACCAGGCATGATAACATTACCCTTCGAGTTGTCCACATTTCCAACATAAATTTGAAGTACCTTTATACATTCTAGACAATTTTTTTGGAGTCATATACCAACGGTACATCATTTTATAAAAATTTGCATAGGCCATATTTTTGTGGTTGCTTAACTGATGCCATGGAAGCTGTTGGTTTAGATTTGGGGAGGTCTAGGTTCAATTCTATACTCAGTAATTCAAATCGGAGGATCAATGGGTTGGATCAATGAACCCAGTCACTATCTCTCAGCCTAATTACTTTGCAAGATGATTGTGAAGATAACACTTTGAAGTAGATTACCTGTATTGCCCAAGATAGCCATTTTCAAAGGGCAGCAGTAATTTGCCAATTTTATTTTTTTAATGATCTCTAGATCCCGAAACAAACTTCTCTAGTAAATATGATTGGGACTTTAAAAGGTCTGCTCTTCGCTTTGTAGCTCTTATATGCAGAGGACTACAACCTGTAGTATGATCCTTAGAGAGGGCTGTGAGGCAAGGAACCCATGGGAAAGAGCTTCTGGGTGTGATTTGGATGTGTGTTTACTTAATGGGGGTGATCCTGAAAAAGAGAAATGTGCCCTTGAGGTAATTAGGTCAGTGCTAGGCAGAACAGGTTTTCTGTGTTCTGGGGTGAGAAAAGGTGAATATTTACAAAAAACAACTCTTAAGTCCCAATTTAAGGCTGGCAGTTTATAGGCTTAAGGCCACCTCATCTTTGCTATGCAACTAGACTCTTGGGGAAATTACTTTTTTCACTGTATTAAATTTGTCATTGTTTTATGACTCTGTCGATCTTGTTTTGTGAAGGAAGAACCCCATGTCATTTTCTCAAAACTCCAAATGCAGAGCCCTTTTTCATAATACATGCAGTCTTTCTTTGGACTGCTTCTAAACAGAGCATTTGATCATGAGCCACAACCTGCAATGTATAGTCCAGAAACATATTGTCTACCTCATTTGTTCTTTTTGAGGATTGGGCTTGAATTAAATCTGTGCATGTTAACAAGGATTAATTATGCTTCCTTCTGGGTGAGGAAAATGTAATTGAAATTAAAGTGGTGTGTATATCATTGTTTCTTTCAGGTCTCATAATAGCACTTTTCTGAAGAGTGGAGAGGCTGTGGGACTGATCACTCATGTGTAGTCACTGATGCCCAGAAATCAGTTCATAAGCAACTTAGAAAGAGATGCAGAAAGGGCTAGGTAACAGATTTGATGCAAGCAATACATCACAGACAACTCTGATAATTCTCCCAGCACCAGCACAGCTGACATCAAGAACTCTGTTTTTCTTCTGTTACATTACATACTTTCGTTACAACTATTTGGTTAAGTTGCAAGACAAATCTTATATACTAAGTCTGAACTTCTGCATTCAGTTGTGTTTAAGGTTATTTATGTTAATTATTTAATGTTTTCTGTGTTTATAATTGTTTCAATTATAAAGTATAATGTATACTTGTTTTACAAGTGATTTTTGTTAACCATTTTTTGGTTTTTACTTTGTATGTTTATTATTTGTTGTATGAATACAGAATATTTTTCTTTAAATCCAGAATAAGAAAAGTAGGCATTGTTTTTCCATGATGATGGAATTCTTAAAAAAAAACAAAAAACCCTTAAGTAAATTCTATGCAAAAAGATTTGTGTAGGAAGCAAAGAAATGTTGCAAAATAAACAAAATTAAGCATCATAATTGGCCAAGTTGTGCATTTAAAGACTTATTGTTTCAGTTGGAGAGATACCTAGATTTGTGTTTATCTCTGGGTCTTATTATTTAAAAGTGCTTCACTTTGACTTGTGCCCAAATAAAGCATTCTGATTTCCCCCCACCTCCCACAAAGTGAATTCAGCTTGGCCTTCCACAATCTTGTACTGTCTAGATTCCTTGTAATTAGCATGCTGATATGGAATTATGGCAATTGTAAAGCTAATACATATGGATGGAATCACACTGGACAAGCCTTATCTAACTTATTTATAAATTATTAAATAGTTAAACCAGAATGCTATACACAATATTTGCAATATTTTGAAGTGTGACTGACAATTTTTAGTTTTTATTTAAAAAGCAACAGATATGCTACCCTTCTGCATGAAGAAATCATGGCAGAGAGTTCACATCCAGATAATGCTGCATCTTAAGAGATGGGAGAGCAGTGGGAAGGTTTTATTATTTCAGGTCATTGGTTTTAATTCTTCTCGCAATTGAGGTAACCAGTTGGGTGCTGAAGCAAAGGTAAAAAGTACTCTTTGTTAATCCATTTTATTGAAATGAAAAGTAACTGACAGTTGAAAAATGTGAGAAATAGAATAAAAAAACCTGTGCCAAATAGCAGACCAAACATTCTTATAAATCCTGTGGGGAATAACAGAATCTACATGTTATAATTCTCTCTTCTTTTTCACTGCACGGACCATACTTGTCATATTATTCATGTTGTGGGATAGGAGCTTCCCATGTTGCCTGCTTCTCCGAGACTTCAGTCTCTTGAAGGAATCCAGATCTCTGTGTGTACTCATGATCAACCGACTAAAAAGAAGGTAAACCATCAGATAATGAATTCTCATTGTTGTGCACACATAACAAAGAAGCAGAGCATGGAATTCAAAGTTCCATTCAATTAGCTACTCTTAGTAGTTCATAGGCCAGCAATGTCTTTCTTCACAAAAAAATTCTTCTAAATTCCTAACCGTTGTCATCCTTTTTTAAAAAAAGGAAATCAGATAGACATCCATATAGTTAACTTTTATTTGAGTAAGCTTCATGTTCGTTGAATGAAAAGTGAAGATGCATTTGTACTTGTCTTGAATCCAGTGATGTTAATTTCTAAATACTAACTGTGTTTCTTTTATGTTATGGCATAACTCTTTAGATGATTTTTTCTACATAAAATAATCTTCCAAATGTTTTTGATTTTCTGTGATGGAAAAGCAGTATAGTTGCTTTTAGCTGTTTTTTGTACTTTCCTCTACCTTTAGATAGAGGGAATGAAATTTATCAAAATACTGTCTGATCTTATGATTTCATTTACCTATTGGCATTGGTTATACTACTCTGATTAGTGGGCAGTTTGGTCTCACCCAGGAACTTCTTAAATATATTAGTAATGTTCAAACATTGAAAACACAGTTGAAACCACCTTCAATATAAATCAGGAAGAGTCTGGAAGCACCTTTTCAGACTAACAAATTTTAGTAAAAGGCATAAGTTTTTGTGAACTAAAGCTCATTTCATCAGATGCATGGAATGGCTAAACTGATGTAAGATTTAAATTGAGATGGGGAAGGGGAGAGGAAGACAGGGTGATTTTGCAGATGCAGGTAACATGTGAGACAGTTTGCAAGGACCTTATCAATTAGTGATTGTACTATGTTAAAAACCCATTGTTTTTGTTGAGACCTTTTGAGATAGCCTGAAACCTTTTGATGTGTGTGAGTTTAGTAATCTCTTGCTGGATTGGGCTAGTAAAATTTCTTTGTTCCAAAACAGCCACTTTGAAATCTGTATTGAAATGTCCTAGAAGACTGAAATGTTCTGATATTACTTTATCCTTGTTTTGAGTCCTGATGTCAAACCTGTGTCCATTAATTCTTTTGCTCAAAAGCTGTCCTGTTTTTCCAATATAGAATCCAGAAGGATATTACTGGCATAAGGAAGAAATGTAAAGGCACCTCTAATCTTGTATGTGGTGCAGGCTTGCTTTGGTGTAAATATGGAGGCAAAGTAGACATAGGTTTGTTGTGGGGTCTGATTCTCATGCTGGAATCATTTCCTGTTGTTGTTTGTGAGAACCCACTTCAGGTTTGGTGGCTGTCTCTGTACAATTATGGACCTGCCACCCAGTGCCTGAGAAAGTGCAGTGTCATTGTCCAATATGGGTTGTGTGTTTCAGTGGCTTGAGCTGCAAGTTGTAAGTGACAGAGTGTTGTTATGTTGTTCTGTTTTTGCACTCTGATTTTTAATAGGTCCTCTCTGGGAATTAGTTTGGCTTTACTGATTTGTCTGGTGATGTTTGAGTGGGAAGTTCAATCTTCTGAATGGCAGATTTAATCAACAATAATTACAGGTAGTCCTTGAGTTACAACAGTAATTGGGACTGGAATTTCTGTTGCTAACCAATGTGGTTGTAAAGCATGACATCATGTGACCGTATTGCTTAGCGACAGTAGTCCCCGTTACCGTAGTTAACTGAATCCCACTGGTTGTTAGATGAGGGCCCACCCCAATCCAAGCCATTCCCGGCTTGGTCCCTCACAACCCCAAGCCTTGGTAAGGTAAGAGACTGACTCCTCTTCAACTCCCCCACACCTATCCCCCCCCCCAATTTTGGCCACCCTGCAGAGCAGCACTCCTCAGTGCACTATTTGAAGAACAATGGGTGCGGCCTTCTTGTGAGGCTTCAGAAGCCTTCCGAAGCATTGTGAGAACAGCACACATTATTTGGAGAATGGTGCAAGTGGTCTTGGGAGGAAGGCTTGGCATGGCCAGCAACTGCCTCACATAAGGCCAAGCTGGGCACGCCTCAGCAGCAGCAGCAGAAGAAAAATGGTGTGGGTTAGCTGGCTGTGGCAGGGCCTGTGGAGTGCAGGGTGGCAGGGGCGGCTGGGGCTTTGCATTGTGGCGCTGAGGTGGCTGGCTGCGGCACGGGGCTTGAAGTGGCACTCCTTGGCAGTGGCACTGGAGCTGAAATAGAGGCCTGGGGGCAGTGGTGGCTGGGTGAGACTGTTGAAGGCCCTGGGCCACTATGCAGGGTAACCAAAAGGGCAGAGATGGGGGGAAGACAGGCAGGTAGGGGGAGTTGAAATGCCCCTACAGTTGTAAGTGCAGGCGGGCTGCCAAGTACCCAAATTCTGATCACATGACCGCGGGGGCACTGCAACACTATAGCTTTGGGGACTGGGTGTTACCATTCATTCAGTGCCGCCGTAACTTTGAATGGTCACTGAATGAATGGTTGTTAAGCAAGGACTACCTGTATTGATATAGCATCCAAAATTGTGAATGGAGCTAATACCTCATCACATATTCACTGTCCTGCAGACATAACATTGTTGCATGCTGACTGCTGAAAAGCTGCAATTACAGATAGTCCTCACTTAGTGATGACAATTTGGACTGGAAACTCCGTCACTAAGTGCCGTGGTTATTAAGCAAGACATCATGTGACTGAGACTTGTGATTTTACCTCTGTGTTCTCCATTAACTCTGCTTGTTGCAAACTGGCTGGGAAGCATAGCAAATGGTGATCATGTGACTGCGGGACACTGCAATGGTCATAAATGCAAGGATTGGTCGCAAAGCTGTTATTTACATACCGTCATAACTTCAAATGGTCGCTAAACAAGACAGTTGGTAAGTGAGGACTACCTGTACCAATAATGGAAACCTGTGTTCATATGCAGTCCTTGACATAATTTCATGTGGTTGTCAGACTAATTTCAAAGACCTCTGGAAGTGATAAATACGGAACCTTTGGTAAAAGGACCTGTCCCTTCCATTGCAAATGTTATATAGAAAGAGAGGCTGTAATGGGGCTGTGAAAGAAGAAAAGAGAAAAGCACTGAGAAAGTTGGGGGGGGGAAGGAGAGAGAAATCAGTGGCTGATCCACTACTCCAGTCCCATCCACCATTGGCCTTCGATACATTACCCTCAAGAGAATGTAGCCCTTAGCGAAAATGCTGCCCACTCTTCTGTAACCATAATTTGATTGGTGTAGAAGTGATGCAGTTGTTATGAAGGTGGCTGCCTGTTATATTTATCTCTTTCAGTCTATTAAAGAGGCTCATGTGTTTTATAACAAAGAAATATGTTCTTACTTGAGATTAGACAGTTCCTTAATTAGTCCATAAACAACATCTGTTGCATCTTCCTGTTTGGATGGATCACAAATCTTCTTTGTTTCATCTCTGATTTTTAAAAAATAATAATATGATAGAAGAATTAGGGCATCAGATCAGTAGCATATACATTTGTGATGTATATTTCTAAATGATAACATGCACTGCTGCAGGATATTGTTTCTTATTTTAATCCACTGAGTTAATTAGTGCAAGTGCCCTTGGACTCAAATACATACAAAACTACAAAGTAAGCTCATGGAAAAGACCAAGAAACAAGCACTAACCATAGCACTAGTATGCCATCAATGCAGCTGTCTTGTTTTTATATATTTGCATGTCAGAATTAGGCTTTCCTATTCCCCATACTGGATCTTATGATTAGCACAAAAAACCCCTCTCCTTCCCCTTTATACTCATTGGCACCCTGCTGAGCTAAAACAATTTACTTTATACTCAGTGTAGATGTCTTTTCTAGAATAAACATTTTAATTCTGCAATTTGTTTTTATTGCTTTTTTCCAATAGTCTGCTATATGCCTGAGAAAAAGGGTAGATAAAAATGAAATTTTAGCAAAACCTTTTACTTAGCTCTGATTTTCATGCTGCAGGTGAACACGTGTACGCATATGTATACATGCTGTGTGCGAACATATATATACACAAACATGCATACGTGTGTGTGTGTATGCACATATCTCTGTATGCACAAAATGCAGTCCTTTGCTCTTGAAACAATATGAGCCTAATCACATGGAATGCAAAATAAGAACCCACATTAGGAAATCCACATTCCTACCTGACATTATTTGCATGTATTTTAGTAGAATCAGGGGGTGGTGTTTTATTTTCTCCTTGTTTTCTTGCAGCATACTGATTACTTTTGTCCTTGGAACATATCTGTAAATCATTCAGAACACATGTCTGAAAGGAAAGAAATGCAGGAGTACAAGGGTGTTTTACATAATAAGGAATTTACTTAGAGGTGGAGATGTTTTCATTTTGTTAATTCTATAATCCCAATTAAAATCACATAGGGAAAAATTCAGAACAACTATGCTAGCAATCAATATCATTGAGATTTGATATGTAGGAATTAAAAAGTTAGAACCTCTCCAGTCAGCTTTGGGGTTAAACTGTTTGGAAGGGATGTGTTGTGTGGCAAGAGGATAAATCTTGTGGTTCACTTTCAGTGTACTTTGCTAGCAAGTTCTTCTTCCCTACTGTTTCCTGAATTCCTGACACTTTATTTCCTTTTTCTCTTGTCCTTCTCCTGTTGCTACCCTTTTATAAGTGAGGAGGAGAAAACAGAAAACTATAGAAAACAGAATAGTAACCCCATCTCTTAATTCGACTTATTAGAAATGGATTACAGTAAGAGGGAAAAAAGCTTTTGTTATGCACCCATATGCCACCAAGAAAGCACACAGCAGAACTAAGCAAGAGAGAGGGTACTATAAGGGAGAGAAGCAGAATGCCTCTGAAAAGCAAAAAAAGGAAGGGAAGCTTGGAGTAATTAACCAAGAAACTAAATAAAAATAGGACTTGGCTTGACCTATGACTTCAGCAATTAATTGCAGCACTTTTTAACATTTAAAGAGTATTCAAAATAAAATGCTGAAAAAATTGCACCTCAGTTTTAATGAAACTACTGCAGTTTATAAATGATATCCCCTGCTTTAAGGATTCGGTTTCAAAGATCGTTTTAGTTCTTAAATAGCAAGAATTTAAGTTATAATACTGTATATAGTACAAGATAATTTCTTCCCAAATCAGTATTGACTATTAACGTGGAGGACCTCAGCACTATTAATAGTGTTAACCAAATTTTAAGGCCTCGTCTATTCTGTTGAATAGCAATTAACAGCACTTTTAAAAATTTTAGTCATTAGTAGTCAGCTTACTTTCTGTGATTGAAATTCAAGGCTGTGGCTTTCCAAGATGCCCTCTAACTGAGTGTCAGGCAGAGATTCCAGATCCAGAGAAAAGGAATCTGGGCAAGGAGAATATGCTTGAGCTACCATGTCAAGACCACTTGGTGCACTGATGCTGGAATCTGTCCCATACGCAACAAAAGACCCTTGGACTTTTGACTGAGCCTTAATTTCCTTACTGGGGTCACTCAACACATGTGGTGGAGGAATCTCTACAGAGGAAAGGCTGCTTTCCACCTGGTCAGGTTTGTTCTTGTTTCCTTCACACTGGGCTGATTCTTCATCTGCCATATGTTTTGTTTCTGCCTTGATCACTGTTTTCTCAGCAACATTTTTACTTGACAATGCTTCCATAATATTGTCTGTAATCAAATTATTTCTATTGAATTCTGATTGCTGCATATTAGACAACACATGTTCAGAACAAATTGTCTTCTGGTTTTGGATCAACAGAGTAGGAACATTTAGTTCAGTTGAGTTATAGATGCTCTCCTTTCTGCAAACGTCTTCCACTGAGAATTTTCTGCTTTCGGACAGAACATCCTCATCAGACTGTGAGGAAATCAGGCTGCCTTTTAAAATGATCTGGTCACAAGTTGGTTTACAATGATCTACTTCCTTTTCCAAATAAGGATACACAGGCTGAACATATGGAAAATCTTTCTCAGAAATACCTTGGTGTTTGATGCTATTTTGCTCTGCCAGAATTGCCTCTCTTCTGCAAGGACTGTTTTCCACTGCATCTATGCTTCTAATGCCTTTCTCTACAGGTTTGCCATTTGTCTCCAGGTTCTGCTGATCAATGTTTTTTTTAGTAAGTATGGATTTATAACATGAGGCTCCAGATTCAGAAATTTCAATACTGCTACATGTACAATTCACATTTTGTTCTTCACCTTTTCCATTTTTATCTGGAAGGCTCTCTCTTTCTTTGGCATCATCATTTCTCTGTTTATCTGCACTAACTGTACACAGAGAACTGTTCAGTTTTCCTGATGTAGGAATTAATATATCTGTTATAACTGGGAGTTGAATCATGCTGGTCTCCCTTTGGATTTGGCTATCTATGTATTCAAGAGAACTTGAATCTTTCCTGTTTCCATTTTTAGTCCAGTTAGGGTCATCTGTTTCATCTGCTTTCAAGATAACCTGCATAGATTTATTTTGTGGCACATTTGTGTCTGAACTGCCCAGACACACTTCTTCATTTTGACTACTTTTAATATGGTCAATAATCCTATCTTCTGGCAACATGCCTACATTCATCTGCTTAACCAGTTGGCATTTAAGCGGCTCTATAGGGAGAGCCCTCTTTTCAGAATCATTCACATCATTATTACTTGATGCACACAGAAAAAAGGAAAGCTGCTTTTGTGACATTTCTTTTTCATAGCTGCTTGCTTGTGAATCAGTTAATCCTGATGTGGCATCATTATTTATTTTTCTAATCCCATATTTATCTTGCATTTTGATATCTAGTCTTTCATTTATTTTCTCACAGGGAGGGATTATATGATCTCTAGTACTCTCCATCTTTGTCACTGACAATTCTGCAGATGTAACTGGGTTCTGAATTACTGCTGTACTAGATACATTTGTATCCATGTGTTGACCCTTACAAGAGGTAAAAAAAAAAGGTGAGTAGATAAAAAAGCAGTGCAAAGATTAACAATTTCTCAATAGTTTTTCTCTCACCTCATAAAAAATGCATCTGTTTAATTATTCAGTATTTCTATTTTGCCCCTTACTGTTACTGCTTCCAGGTTTTCTTACAAAAAACTAAAACATTAAATATAAATTCACCATATAACCAAACAACATAAAAAACACTGTAACAAAGTCTTTAAAAATATTTTTGGATTAATTTTATTGTATTCCTATTCACTCATTGTTTGTATGCTGTTCCTTATTTTGTGAGCTGCCCAGAGTCAGGAGGCATCTAAATCAAATACATAAAATCATGCTAGCATATTCCAATTAAAATTAATCATAAAAAGCCCTTTAAATAAAAAATATTTTCATGTTATGCTCAACATGAACTAGAAAAATGCTTAAGAAATGCATCTACAAAGCTTCATTATTGCTCAAATAAATGATTGCACAGAACTGCAGAAAAAGTTCTTAGTTATATTTTCATTACTTTTAAAACTTCTTTTTCATCCACCCACAAGGACTTTTTTTTTTACTGGTGGCAAGGATCTATTACATTATACTGTAAACAAGCAGAAAATTTGTTGCTAATACCAGGCTCATACTTCTTTTGTCCAAATTGTAGTTTCCTCAAAATTTCTTTCCTTTCTTTTAATCAATGATTTTTTTGACTTTGTAAATGTCGATACCAGCTTCCCATCCTATAATCAAGAATAAGACAATCATATACTTCATTCACTCCCTCAACAACTTTTAAAATTAAACAAAGTATTAATTTTGGTCCAATAAAACCGCTCTGTATGCATGAAGATTTCGCTTAGCAGTAAAACTAGAAAAATACAGCATTGAAAAACCAATTAGCTTGGTTCAGTGATCCAGTAGAAGTTTTATTCTGGCAGAAAGAGAAACAATTCTTGCTTTTCCTTCCTTTCCCCTATACCTCACTGGGCCAATTTCCATGCTGTTATGGTTCTTCTCCATACTCACTCTCCAGAGCACATTTCCAGAGTAAACAGGAAGTAAAAATTAACATAAGTTAAAATATAATGTAACACAACCCCGACAATCTCGCATTTCGCCCAAATATCTTTAACTAGCTTTCAAAAGGCTATTAATGGAACTAACCTCACTTCTAAGGGGAGGCCATTTCAGAAGACTGGGACTATCAAAGAGAAACACCTGGGCCTTGAGCACCGACTTCCCAGGAATGGAGTATTATCAACAATTTATTCTGGTAGAGATGCCTCAGATGTGGCAAATCCAATTAGAGGAGGTATCTCTGAGGTATCCAAAAACTGCACTTTGAATTATACCTGGAAAGCTACTAAGAACAAGCCTAGGGGTCTGCAGAATTGGTGTCATATGGTCATACCACCAAGCACCTGACAACACACAGGCCACTGCATTCTGGACCAATAACAGCTTCTGAATGATTATAAAAGACACCCCCATTTAGAAGTTGTTGCAGTAGTAGTGATGTGCAATAATGAGGGCGTAAGTCACTGTAGCAAGGTCTTCCTGCTCAAGGAGGTCCACAATTGGCATATCAGCTGGACCTGGACAAAGGGCCTCCTGGTGATGGCCTCCACCTGCTCTTCTAACAGTAGTCATGAGTCTAGCAGTGCTACTCCCTCAAGAGACACCGCCAGAATAAACAGAATATATGTGGCGTTCAAGGATATACAATTCGAGAAAGACTTGGAAAGCATCATTTCTCTGGCACCAGATCTCATTTTATCAGCAAACCGCAACTAGAAACTTCTATAAAACTCCCAGCAGCAGGAAGACGACAGCAAAGGGTGGCGGGGCATGGAGTAGAGGGCAGCCAAAAGGGTGGGGTGGGGGAGATAGGTGGCTTCACGAAGGGCCAGCAGCTGCCTCGGCTGGGTGCGTCTTGTCAGCAGCGGGAAGATGATGATGATGGTCAGTGGGGAGCAGCAGGGGTAGGCAGCAGCAGAGTGCAGGGCAGCCAAAAGGGCGGAGATGGAGGGGAGGTAGGTGGGTGGGGGGAGCTGAAGCGCATGCTGCAGTTGTAAATGCAGGCAAGCTGCCAAGCACCCAAATTTTGATCATGTGACCAGGGGGCACTGCAATGGCCATAACTTCAAGGACCAGTTGTACCTACCATTTGTTCAGCACTGTCATAACTTTGAATGGTTGATGAAGAAATGGTTGTTAAGTGAGAACTACCTGTAAGCTTTGGAAGTAGGTAACCTCCAGGTAAAAGAATATAAACTGCAATTGTACAGTGAAATCTATACTGTGATGTCATTTTTGCATTGAAATTGGAGTATACTTACTTGAGAAGAAGGAAGTACAATGTTAGTATAATCTAGCTCTTTCCACTCAGAAGAAGCCTTAACTATCTTGACAGAGCTGGAAAGAAAAAACAAATTCAGATTTAGAAACAACAAATTACTAATTTAAATCTGCCCAAAAGAAGGATCCTACAGTTATGGAAAGATGGCTTCCATCTTCCTATGAATGACCTTTATACTTGGCAGTTGCAAGGAAGCAAGAAGCATACATCTCTTCTTCCTATATTCCCATCCTATTTTATTTTATTTGTATTGAGTATTTGATTAAACGTATTGCAGTCACAGAAATTCTGCATTTTCCCCTTGATTAAAGAGCATTTGCATTACAAATTAGTTCGAAGGGAAAGAAACGAGAGAATTATAAGCAGAAAGTTGTGGGGTGTTTTTGCACTTTTTTAGTTAACAGTTGTCCAAAACTGCATGTATCAGTGAATGTCCAGCCTTCCATGGTTTGCAGCTTCCCTCATTTTCCATTCTTCAGTTAAATCCCGAAGAAGAAAATTGTGAGGGAACTCCTTCCACTGACTTTTTCACTAAGGCAGTGTCTTATTTTGAGGAATTACTATACACTATCCCCTCTCACTACAGAAAATAATTTTTCCAGTTTCACCATCCATAAAACTGATTAGGAATGATAAACCATTTGTGTCAATTTAAAACCTTGTACACTACTTTGTGATATTTTAATGGCTTCTCCCAAATCATGATATGTAAATAGCAAAAGTGTCATAATTTCTTCTACATTCCTATTGAGAATAAATGTAGCTTAAAATCTCACTGTGGCCACTCCAATATGATAACTTAAGAGTTATTATGAGCCTATCATCTCCATTATTAGTTTGTATTTTAGGTGTGTCTGTGGAATGAATTATTATATTCTGTCTCTCAGGTACTCAGAGAACCAATTGTTTATAAACAATTACAAATATTTATATGGGAGTGTCCAGTTAATCCTTTAGCAGAAAGCAATTAATCTACCATTTTTTTACAGCTACAAAAATATTTAAATAGAAATGGTGAAACAGTATGTTGCATAAATACCAGAATATCCAAGTTATTGAATTAAAAAGAACACTTTATCAGGAAGAATAGAAAATAGGATATTCCCAACTTGTTCTTCAATAGTAAAGTTGATTGGTGGTGCAAAATTTTAGCTAGCTGATTTATTAAATGGACAATTCACTCATTTTCCAAATATAAATACATTTTACCAAGACATGAACTGGCAGGATGGTGAATTTTGTAAAAACCAAAGTACAAAATACAATTTAATCTGATGTTTGTTTTTTCAACTGCCAGTTTGTTTGCAGTTAGAATAGTTTGTTTTCAGGAATTGCTGAGCATTGCCGAATCCTTCTCAAACACTTTTAAGGCCACTGCACAGTGAAGTAGATTAGTCTTGTCCATAAAATATGCTGAAGATTATTTTAGAGGTTTTCAGTCTGTTTTCCTGATATTCCCTAATACAGTCTTGACTTTACTGATTTTTAACTATTTTTTATTATTTAAATCCATTCATTGGAGGAAGAAACATTGGTTTTTGAGGGGAGTCATTATAGTTTTACTGCCAGTGGCTACAAATCAGTTTATTGGGATTGTCAGCCACCACCTCTCCCACTAAACTGGTAATACTAAACTAAAACAGGGAAAAATGTACCAACAGAACAATGAATTAGCTGTATTCACTGTTCTGAATGGTGCTACCTGCATTAATCCTGCCAGAATCCAGTCTGTAGTTGTCAGGAATATGACTGTCTATCACAATTGTCCACTGGATTATAGCTCATTGAATAAGCATGTCTGAAAGAGTCCATCTAGACCAATCTTCCCACTTGGTGCCTTCCTTTTTAGATGTATTTGGATAGGCTGGCTGAAAATTCGGGAGTTACAGTCCTAAAACATCTCCAGAGCATCTGGTTGGGAACACTGGTCTGGAATTAGGTATATACAGAAGCACTTTTTTTTTCTTAAAAAGTGGGAGAGGAGGTGGATTAACATTGTATGTTAACAACCATGATTCATACATATTACCTTATATCCTGATATCCTTCCAAATTTTCTTTACATTCTTCATATACTCCTGCTGTAGAGGGAGAATTACTAATCTGAGAACCTTGGGTTAACATTTCTAGATCACTCTCTCTTGTCAACTGCATTTTCCTTCTAAGATTCTTCTTTGGCTTAGAAATGCTGTGCTCCTTATTTTCTTCTTTTGAGAGGGAAAAAATAAAACCAACAAACTGTAATGCAGAAGAAATACAGCAAACAGTGTTTGTATAGTAAATACACTTAGCAAATGAAAGTGAATATTTAAAAATCCTATTGATTTAATTACAAATATTATATACAAGATTACACATAATGCATACAATTCCTGCATACACAGTTCTGCATACACAGAAGAACTATACAAGAAAGATCTTAATGTCCCTGATGTCCATGCTGGTGTGGTCACTGACCTTGAGCCAGACATCCTACGTGAACCGAGAACTACCGGATGTACAAGCTGGGTTTCGAAGAGGCAGAGGAACTAGAGATCAAATTGCCAACAT